AGGTACATTATCAGATTTTTTTAAAAATTTTTTAAAAAAATGTAATAGAAATTTTCCAAGACTAACAATCATCATATAAAGTTATAACTCAAAATTATTTAAGTGATGTAGATTTGATGAGACTATATAAAAGAATTTTAATTTTCATTGTCTGAATCCTAAAATTAAATGTTTGAAATGAATGTATATAGTATATTTTTTATCTATATAAATGAAAATATCTATAATGCGAGTAATGAAATGTTTTTAATTTTCTATTTTTTTCACACTATCAAAATACCCAAAATGGTGAATTCTATGAAATTATTGGGGTGAATGATCGTATGAAATAAGTAATATATAAAGTAATATATTAACTCATGTTAATAGGAGATTCTGTTTCAGTAGATTTGCGATCAATTGAACGTTCATTTGATGTAGCACGTTCATAGACGAAATCGATGAAGAAACGTGCGTAGCACATGGAACATAAAAGGGCCCATAAGTCTGTCCAAAATAAAAGAAGTGAGATTGAACTCACTTCATCTATAAACGTATAAAATAAGAAAAAATGTTCTACTAATAAATAACCTATTGTTACGATAATTGCTAAAAATGCTCCACAATAATAGTATTTTGTCAGACAAGCAATAGCACCTATGATAACGACTAAACATATTAAAACGATATTAGAAACAAAAATTACTATATCAAATGAGAATATAAATGTTTGAACTGGTGATTTGAACGCTTCATCTTTTAACATCATAATAGTATTGACAAAACATCCTATTTCTATGATTACGAAATACGCAAATATGATGAATATCGCAATTATAGCGAATGCCAATTTTTGGGCATCCTTATTATGAAAACCGGTAGCTATCAATGAAACCAATGTCACTACCAACATTATGCACATGACACTCAGCAATAAACTTGTTCTTGTTGTGTTTCCTTCTTTTAAATAAAAAAATATATAGGGAAAGACCACCGTAAAATACATAAAAAATATAACTCCAAAGATTTCTGCGACATCTTTAGATCTAGATTCCGTGTTATCTCCAGTTTTAAGCTTGGAAATTATGAATATTAACAAGATAATACCAAGAAGCACCGTGACAATAATGTACGGAATATATTCAACTACTTCAAAATTGAATAATTCCGAGGCAGTTAGGTTTGCTGTGACATCTGAAATGATGCTGGCCAAAAGAATAAAAATCGATGGCAAAGGATTGTCTGCCATTTTTGTTTCGAGTTATCTTTGTTTAATAAAAAGTTATTTTCTGAAATCTTTCTTATATTATGTACGATATTATGTGCGAAAGTTAAAAAAAGATGTTTAAAAATCATACAAGGAAAAAAAAATTTTTATACGTATGCTTATAAAAGTGTGAAAACCTAATTTATTTACCCATAAGAATTTCTATATAAGTTTAAGTGACACTGCACATCGATGGCGTTTTTTTTCAAAGTCCGATTATTCCGGTTTTCTTATCCTTTTCCGACTTTCTGTGATAAAAGTCGAATTTTCCATGGGTCCCACAAGAATTTTATCATCATAGATTAACGTTAAGTTTCAGTTCACTATCAATAGTTTGACCCTTACCGTAACACTTTAGAACAATTTTAAAATCATTGCCATTATCCTTTATTATCTTGTAGCTATAAGTTACGAATATGATTTCCTTGTCTACTCTAAATATTCTGAAAGTGACACTGACATTAGCCCCTGAAATTGATTTACTTAACGAAGTTTAATCATGTTACAAAAAAATCACATATCCTGTGATCTCTAAGCCAGAGTAAGCCAAGATGGCTTGGCTTTACTTTTTTGCACACATTATTACGTAGCAATTTTATGCAAGTGCAACTTTAGGCGCTTAAAGAGGTAACTTTGCACAAAAGTTACTTGTCCCAATTTATAATTATTTTATAAAATTTTGGAAAGTGCGAAATACATAACGCCCAGCGATTTCTAATTTAGTCTGAATGAAATATCTAATATGATTTACGGTAAATCCTTGTGACAGAATTTTTAATTAACAATACATAGTTAATGTTTTATTTTATAACCATAACAGATAAATCTGTATTCGTACGTACGTAATGGTTATACGTATTATTTCATTCTTACTAATAAAATTCCGGATTCATTATTAGCATTAGCAACATCGGCTAGTTATGTAGTATTAATGTTATTTAATTGTAATAAAGTTTTTTTTCTTTGCTAGAATAATCATAAAATTAATGAAATAAAATTTTGGATTTCTATTTAAGTCTTAAAACCCACTTATATATGTTGTGCCTCAGACTAACACTTGCCTCAGATCGGATAGATTATTAGTGCAACCAAAATTAAGGGTCGGAATGAGCCCTGAGCTAGGCCGGCATTAAGCAATATTGTCAGCCCACTATACTATAGCAAAATTATCATCTGGACAGCTTTACTTAGTACGTGTGCTACCATTTTATTAGATGATTTTGAGAGAAATTTATCAATTCCGGCCTATTCCGGCCTAAATTTTGGTTGCACCACTAATCTATCCCCTCAGATCACGGCTGACGCACCTCAAAATAAGGAGACAAATAAAGAACAAAAAGAAGTAATAGGTTAATTGTTAAGCGGAGCAAGTTACGATAGTAACACCGGATCAAGAAGTACATATCCATCCCAAATAATATATATAAATTGTTAAATATTTAATAGTATATTATTGTTTCAAACCGATAGTAAATTATATAAGTTGACTCTGCTTTAGACATCCCTGAGATTACATTTCATGACTAACAATATAAATTTTGAAGTTTCAAATCCAAATTACAATATATCTGGACATTTTATAGAGAAAATCCATTTAAGTATCATTGAACAAAAAAACATGATATATATGTATAGATGCGAAGCATCTAATAATTCCATATTATCAGGATAATTTTCATATCATTAAGCTAATGATCCCAACCGTCAGTAGTATTTACATTTTCCAGAATCCATTTTATGCATGCTTCAATAACATTATCTTTTTTATCTTTTAAATGCACTATAAAAATTGCATTGAAGCAATTATCATTAGCATTTCACGTGAAAATTAACAATGACGGAATAATAAAACATACAGCAATGCTTCATGTTAGGCCACAACTTTATTTTAACCTTTTTTCATAGCATTAGTTGATTGTATTTTTATTTCCTTTTTCATACATCAATAAAACAGGACGATCTATTTTTGTATAGTATTCCTCTAGTACCATTCTTGCTTGATATAAAAATTCCATGCCTATAATAAGACAAGTCATTTTCAGATTAATATATTATTAGATATCTTTTTATGTTATTCGTATTAATTTAGTATTTTACCTTAGCTAGCATAATGGGCTTATATCTTTAATTTCTTTAATTTATTGCAAAGTTCACTAGAATCTATCTTGTAATTTATTGAAAAATCTGGCATTAATTTGTATACAAGTTTACCCAAACCAATAATAATTTTAGATGCCTTCTTTTCTTCTAATGCAGGTGTAGTGCAATATACCCAGAAAATTCATCATTAAGTTCACCCTTAGCTGCGTAATAAAAAGCTAATACACTGCCCTACAAAAATTAAAATAAAATAAAATAAAAGGTAATTTTATTATATGAAATAACTATAAAAGTATGTTAACTTACCATACTATTTTCCATTAAAAATTGTGGAATATTTTTATTGTTTCTTTTTTGTTTCTTTAGTTTGATAAAATTTGTTATATCATTAATTGTTTTATCCCAACTTTGATACTTGTTACGTGTCTTGCCATGCCCGCGTCAAGCATAAACTTCAATTCCTTTCTCTTTAAACTTGGAAAATACATATTCATAATAACCCATATGATCTGTTAAACTGCGGAGAAAGTTACATATGCCTTTGAATTTACTATATAATCTGGTTTCCATGTTTTATTATAAAAACTAACTCCATCTATGAGTATCTGCTCATCTAATACTTAAAAAAAAAATTTCAAATTTGATGTCAGAAAAGGATAATTTGTTTCACATTACTTCTTTATTATTATCTTTTAATTTGGTTATAATAAATTACTTACATGTCAATAGATGTTAGTGATAGATAATAATAATAAATAAAGAAATAACTTGGTTTAATTTTTTTTAAATGATAAAAACAATATTTTTAAAGAGACTCAATTTCATTACCAGCTTCATTAGGTAATTCAATAACAATTTCAGGTTCTTTGATATACTCCTTTATATACTTTTCTAGTTCTTCAATCCGATCTTCAGTTGTCCTTTTTGGTTTAACTTTAATATTTTCATTTCTAAACTGATATGCGAGATATAATACATAAGGTTGTAGCTGTTGCTTGTATGTTTCTTGGAAATTCTTCACTCAAATAATTTACTATTCGAGAAATAAACATAATCAGCATGAAAAGCATAGACTTGAAAATATAATAATTGACAGGTTTATATAACATAATCCAAAGCGTTTGAAGAATGCCTGGAGTGCAAAGGGTCAATATGGCAGCTATTGAAATAAGTTTTTTATATATCCTTCTTTGATTTATACTCAAAACTATTATTGTTATAATGGCAATAAGGGTAACCAAAGAAAAGAGGGTAATAAACCATTGTTTGGTCGAATCTACAGACTCAGTCATTGATATATAAATTATCAAAAAGACTGGTATTGCAAATATAGGTATAAATCCAATAAAAAATACATCAATAGAAATGTAATATTGTCTGTGCTTATTTGATCATGTTTTTTTTCATCATATACATTAAGCTTTTTGTTAATGCAGTAACTTACAACTGCACAAAATAGATGCGGAGTTGCATTGCAGATAGCAAAGATAGGCTCATCTAGTGAATGGTATATGATAGATATTATTAAAGGTATGATCCAGATAATGATATTGTATAGTATATCATCAAGTATAGGAAGAAGATTAGTCTTCCAAGTAGACTTTTCGTCTGGTTTGATATTAAAGAGTGAAACAAATGATGTTGGTACCAAATGCATCTCGATATGGTACAAATCATAATCAATCAGAGAGAAGTTTGTTATGTTTTCCATTTCGATTTTAAAAGCATTTGTCTAATAAATTCTTTGTGTTTTTAAAGAGAATAAATATCTTAAGAAGTTATGCAATTTTGCGTTACTTTATTAATGTTTAATGCCTACGTAGTATCATGTTCTTGTTAATACATTAGATGCGATTAGATGTATGCAAGGCAATTGAACTTTATTTTATTGGGATCGATAATTTAAAAAATTTAGTTTCAATGAACTACCAGTTAGGCCACGCAAAGTTGATTTGCGTTTTGCATAACCCGCCGACCCATTTTTTCAATTTTTTTAAGCTCCAATTGTGCCAATTATTCTATTTTTGCTATCTCCGATATAACCGATAGTAAAGAAACCTCACCGCTGACCCAATTTCCTGATTCCATGCAATGCAAAACTTTATATGGCCTTAAATATTATTAATTTGCAATAAATTTAAAAAAAAAAAAAAAATCTGACCGACCCGATTTTTCAGATTCCATGTTATGCAAAACGAAAAATTAACTTTGCCTTTGCGTGGCCTTATGCATTATCTCAGTATACGTACGTAGAAAGATTACAAAAATATATTTTACATATATCAATATTAGTGTAACAGGTGTCGCGAGGCGCCATCCATTCCCCAACTACCCAGGTAATACTAAAGGTTTTACAGATCTGAATATAAGTATGTTTTTGCAATTTTTTAAAACTTTGAGCGAAGGTTTTTTGACAACTGCTTAACAAAATTTATCGAATTTTTCTTATTTCACTTCTACATATCTGTAGAATTAAAAATTATCAAATTTGGATATTTATGTAGTTGTCGAGAAAACTTTGCTTGAAGTTTGAGAAGATTTATCTCGTTTATAAACAAAGAACTGCGCCTAAACCTTTTTAAAACTTTGAGCGAAGTTTTCTCAACAACTACCTAACCAATTTCGATAAAAAAATTTTTATTTTAATTCTACAGAATATGTAAATTGAAGTAAAAAATTATTATTGAATTTGGTTAATTAGTAGTCGAGAAAACTTTCTCAATGTTTAAGAAAATTCTTCATGACTTGAAAAAAAAAAAAAAAAAAAGCAGTAGATTCCAAAACTTTGAGCAAAGTTTTTTTTAACAACTACCTAACCAAATTCGATGAATTTTTTTTTTTACTTTAATTATATATGTCTGTAGAATTAAAATATTCATTGAATTTAATTAGGTAGTTATTGAGAAAAAATATAGTTAAATAAACTCTCCAACATTTCACGCAATGAACCCTCCAACATTTTGCGCAATAAACCTTCCAACATTTTGCGCAATGAATCTTTTAACGTTTTGCACGATGAATCTTCCAATGTTTCATGCAACAAACCTTCTAACGTTTTGCACAACAAGCCTTCCAACGCTTCACGCAACAAATCTTCTAATGTTTCGCGCAATAAACCTTCTAACATTTTGCACACGAACCTTCTAACATTTTGTGCAACAAAGCTTCCAACATTTCACGCAACGAACCTTCCAATGTTTTGTGCAATGAACATTCAACATTTCGTATAACGAACCATCCAATGTTTCGTCAATGAACCTTCCAACTTTTCGTACAATGAACTATACGAAGAACTTTAAAAATATTAACCACCAAAATTTAAACTTTGTGTTA